CGAGAACATGAATGGGGAAAGTTTTAAAGTAACATGGAAGAGTTTTAAATATTCATAATTTGAAATAATTGAAGCATAATGAGTTTTAAAAACTTGAGGAAAAGTTGTTTGTGAAAAACTCTGGTGGGGGGGGAAGTGTCCAGGAGGGACTAATCCTTGGAGAAGGATGTCATGGTTGGAAGGATGGAGGAACAGCGTAGGAGAGAAAGACCCTAGATGAGATGGATTGATACAATAACCAGGGCAATGGGGCTGGGTGTGTTGGAGTCAGACTGGCTTAGGACAGGGTGGGCTTCAGAGCTGTTGTACATAGAGTCACTATGAGTCTAGGGGTGACTTGAGAGCATGTAACTACGTTTCCTTCCTCTGTTCTGACAACTGCCTCCTGCTCCAAGTATAGGCTTTGTATGAACGCTATGGGGTATTTGAGGATTCTTATTCTCCTCAAGGTTAGCCACAATTTGTTGTGATCCACACAGTCAGCTGCCTTTGTATAGTCAGTAAAACACTGATAGATATTCCTCTCATACTCTTTGCTTTCAGCCAAGATCCATTTGACATTGACATGGATTCCCTAGTGCTTTGGCCTCTTCTAAACCCAACCTATACTTCTGATAGTTCTCTGTTGATGTGCTGTTTAAGTTGATTTTGGATAATCTTCAGCAAGATTTTGCATGTGCATGGTATTAGTGATATTGATCACTAATTTCCAAACTCAGATTAGGCTTTTTTAGAATGGGAATAAATACAGATATCTTCTAGTCAGCTGGCCAACTAGCTGTCCTCCACATTTCTTGGCATAATTTAGTGAGCACATCTAGGGCAGCATCTGTTTCCTAAATTATGTCAATTGGTATTGCATCAATTTCTGGAGTCTTGTTTTTTGCCTGTTCCTTCAGAGCACCTTGAACTTCCTCCATCACCATTTTGCCTTTTGGTCACAAGCTGTTTCATTAAATTCTTGTCAGCCAATTCTTTTTCAAACAGTGACTCTGTACTCCTTTCTTTTAATGCATCCTGGATCATTCAGTATTCTCCCCATAGCAGCTCGAGGCTTGAATTTATTCATTAGCTCCTTCAGCCTAAGAAATGTCAACTTCGCCCCCTTTGATTCTCTTACTACTGCTCCTTTCACATTTTATTATAACTCTTTGCTTTATTTTCCCAAGCTGCCCTTTGAAATATTCTGCTCAGCTCCTTAACTCCCTTATCTGTCCTCTTTGTGCTCTAGTGCAATATTCAGAGTCTCTTCTGACATCTGTCTTGGTCTATTCTTCCTCCTTTCTTTGTTACGACCTTTTGTATTCATCAAGGATAATACTGTTGATATCCTCACAGAGCTTATCTGGAGAATTCATTCAATAGAACTGTCCAAGCTTTCAAACCTGTTCTTGAGTTGGTTTTTTAATTTAGTTGAAATAGACTCAAGGTAAAATTTTGGTTCTTGTGGATTTGATTTCAATTTCTTTAGCTTCATATCAGTAGCTGATGGTCTGTTCCACAATCAGCATCTGGCCCAGTTCACAGCTGATACTGAGCTGCTTCAGCTATTCTTTCCACAGATGTTATCATTGATTCCTGTGTAGACCATCAGATGAGGTCCATATTTATAGCTGTCATTTGCATTCCTTGTAAAAGGTACTTGCAATAAAAAAATAAGTCATTGATGGTAACAAAATTCTGTAATTCTTTCTCAATCCTCATTTCTGTCACCAAACTATGTTTTCCACTATTGATTCTTCTTCCTTGTTTCCCACTTTTGCACTCCAGTAGTCATCGGTTACTATTAATGTATCTTGGTTACACATTTGGTTTCTTAATAAAAAATTGGTAGAAATCTTCTGTTTTCTCCTCTTTGATTCTGGTTGTTGGTGCATGTATTTGAATGATAGTTGTATTAGCAGATATTCCCTGTAGGTGTATGGATAATATCCTGTTGCTCTCATTGTATTTCTGGATGGACCTAGAAATGGTATTTTTTACTATGAAGGTGACCCCGTTTTTCCTCACCTTTTCATTTCCATTTCCTGTGTAATAGATCATAGATTATCTGATTCAGGATGTCCCAAGCCAATCCATCACATTTCACCAGTGCACTGTATATTAATATTTATGCATTCCATTTCTTCCTTAATGTCTAATTTTTCCCACATTCATACTTTTCACATTCCAATCACTAATGTCTGCTTGCAACTGTTCCTTTTCCTTTAAGTTTTCCAGTACAAGGCCTCAGCCTCCAGTGCCGTATCTGCTAATCTAATCGAAGTATGCTCTTTTGTAAATAGGCTTTCCAAAGGACTTCTACTTTGGAAATGTTTGGCCAATCTGTCTTCATAGTCTGTCTGAAATTTGGATTTTTAGCTTTAGAGGAGTATCTGACAGATAAGCCTTCTCTCCAGTAAAACAGATGAAAGATTGTTCCCAGATGCACAGCTAAAAGGTGCAGTGTTGCCCAGCCTCCCCAGCATTCTGCTTCCTTTCCTCACCTTGCCTCACCAGCACCTCCCTTACCACTCCCCCGGGAAACCTGATATGATGTCTCAGGTCTCTGGTCACTTTTGTCTGCTCATTTTTTTTTCTTTCACAAGTTGCCTTTTGACATCTTTTCAACTCTTTTAATTATAAAAATCTCTTGTTTTTATTTTGCATTCTTGACTGTCTGCAATTTTCAGATTATCTTCTGTATCTGTTTTGATTTTTATTTCTGTCCACCTTCCCACTCCAGTTCTAGGTTATTCCGTGTACAGGGACCTTATGCTTGGGAAAGTGGAGGGACAGCAAATGAGAGGAAGCCTCTGGACTATGTGAGTGGACAGTGATTGTAGCCATATGCTTAAGTGTGTCAGAGATTGTGAAGATGTCATGGGATAAGACAGTGTTCATAGGAGCCGCTCATAGGCTCACTGATTTGTACTCAAGTTGGCAGCACCTAAGAACAAACCACCACCTTCCCAAACATGATGTCCTTCTCCAGAGAATAGCCTTTCCTAGCAATATGTCCGAAGTATGTGAGATGAAGTCTGATCGTCTTACTTTACTTAAAATACTATAACTGATAATAGGTTCAGCCCAGCTTGGAATTCAAAGTTAGAAGAAACATTTGTAAACATGCTTTAATATTTGGAACACTGAATGTACAAAGTATGAATATTGACATCCTAGGTATTAGTGAGATGAAATGAACTGACAGTGGCCATTTTGAATCAAGCACATTTATTGTATATAATAGCTTTTTATTAAATAATAATTCCTTTCCTTTTTCTTCCAAGTTGTGCCCCTTACCCTGAATTACTGGATTAATTACTTGAAATCTTAATGATGGAAAATGGTATCCAGTGGCTAAACAATGATGTGATTCCTGAAGATTAACATTTAATACTTCATACAAACAATCTCCAGATGACAGAGTTATAAAGATAAGCACAAAAACCAGAGGAGGCATTTAAGGTGAGTGTCATTGAATTAAGAGAAATCAGCAGTATTTTCTGAGGCATCCAGATGTTATCTGTATTATATGTGTTTATGAAAGCATGCATTATTTAACCTGCATTAGCCATCCTCTGAAATAGTTTGGTGGTGATTGGGATGTTGTACAAACACCATGTTATGAAGATCACATCTGTTTAAGGAGACCCACTGTACACATATCAGTGTAAGCCCTGTCAGCCTGCTCTGCCCCTCCATTGGTTCCCAAAAGCTGTGGTTTGTTGATTTACAACTACAGTTACCTGCATCTCATGAACAGCCCTTAGGGAGCCTGATCAGACTTGGAAGGAAGCCCTAGAGACTTCAGAGTGGACGAAGGTCACCATCTTCCCACAGATATTCCCTGGATGATTGACAGAGCACATACCAGCTTTTTCCATGGGAGCTGAGAGCTGCACCATGGTTAGAGGACTGCATCCCAGACATGGCAGCAGTGAGGCCAACAGGCATATTCATCATGTCCCAGCTGCTCAGACATGGCAGCTTCTATGCTAACCTGCCCCCTGGTCCTCTTCCAAGCACATCTCCTCCCAGCCTCGTGGACGTATATATAGCTAGACATTGCCAGAAAAGATCAGTGGTAAAGTAGGTTAGTCAAAGGAAGCCCCTAAATGAGATGGAATGCAACAGTGACTGCAGTGGTCATAGACATAATAGTGATTGTGGCAATGGCTCAGCTTCATTCTGTTGGACATATAGGATTGTTATGAATTATAATGGATAACATTGCACCTAATAATATCTCTCTATATAAATCTAGCTATAAAAGTTTGTTTTCATAGACTTTTCACAGTAGAACCTTTTTATGAATAGAAACCATATATCTAGCTACTAGAAAACTATTTTATATTGAATTAATTGTAAGAAAACCACATGACTTAGAAAAACATTGGCATTGATGATGGGTTTTGTGTTAGGTGATTTGTCCTACAGAGCATGAGCAGGTCAGAAAAACCCATAAATGTACAGGTTTTAGTGGAATGAGAACAGACGTATCTTCAAAATTTTTTCCTTGTCTTTTAACAGAAATCCTACAGAAGACAACATCTGTAGAAGTGATTAAATCTGTGGGAAAGCCTTCAGCTGAATTCCAGACGGTACTGAGCAGTAACAATTCTGCAGAAGTCTTTTTGATTGCTGTGACTGTGGAAAAAACTCTGTGGTTCCCTGACCCCCTCACCCCATAGCAGCACAGCACCTCCCACACTGGATGCGGACACCTGACAGTGCAGAGAGATTGCGGAGAAGTCTATAGTTGTACCTCTCACCTAATCCCTTATAGAGAATGCTTGTTGGGTAGGTGACAACCATTAATGTCATGTATATGTGAATTATTCCTTTTCTAAGTCAACACTTAAGGATTCTCTGACAACACTCCTTAGTGAGAAGTGCTGAATGTAACCAGGTATAACCACTTCTGTAGTTTCTCTTCCTCTCAAACATACCTGAAGCTAGTGTTTGCCATATAGTTTTCTTTCATTCTTTATTTTATGTAAAAATTCAGCAAAAGAAATATGTCTTATGAGTGTAAGGAATTTGAAGAAGCCTATGGTGAGACTTTATCCCTCAATAACTATGTAACACCTCAGAGTGGAGAGAGGCCTTACGAATGTAAGGAATGTGGGAAATCGTTCAGCGGGACCTCATCCCTCATGATGCACATGAGAACTCACACTGGAGAGAAGCCGTTTGAATGTCAGGAGTGTGGGAAAGCCTTCTGTCGGGCCTACTCCCTCACAACACACATAAGGACTCACACTGGAGCGAGGCCCTATTGTTGTAAGGAGTGTGGGAAAGCCTTCAGGCAGCACTCAGCCCTCACTACACACAGACGGACGCACAGTGGAGAGCGGCCCTACGAGTGTCAGGAGTGTGGGAAAGCCTTCAGTCTGCCGTCCCACCTCAGTCGGCATATGAATTCTCACAACGGAGAGAAACCGTATCTATGTAAGGAATGCGGGAAAGCCTTTAGGTGTTCTTCCAACCTTACTGCACATTTAAGAATTCACAGTGGAGAGAAGCCTTATGTCTGTAGGGAATGTGGAATGGCCTTTAGTGATGCATCAGGACTCAATGGGCATTCAAGAGTTCACAGTGGAGAGAAGCCTTACGAGTGTAAGGAGTGTGGGAAGGCCTTCAGCAGGGCCTCATCCCTCACAATACACGTAAGAATTCACACTGGAGAGAGGCCTTATGAATGTCAGGAATGTGGGGAATCCTTTAGTCAGCTGTCAGGACTTACTGGACACAGAAGAATTCACACTGGAGAGAAGCCTTATGAATGTAAAGAATGTGGGAAGGCCTTTAGTTTTTTCACATCCCTCGTTATACATATAAGGCGTCACACTGGAGAGAGGCCCTATAAATGTCAAGAGTGTGGGAAAGCCTTCAGCCTGCACTCCCACCTCAGTCGGCATCTAAGTTCTCACAGTGGAGAGAAACCTTATGAATGTAAGGAATGTGGGAAAGCCTTCAATTGTTCCTCAAACCTTATTGCACATTTAAGAAGTCACAGTGGAGAGAAGCCTTATATCTGTAGGGAATGTGGGAAAGCTTTTAGATATGCGTCAGCACTCACTGTACATAAAAGGGTTCACAGTGGAGAGAAACCTTATGAATGTAAGGAGTGTGGGAAGGCCTTCAGTAGGGCCTCATCCTTCACTAGACATTTAAGAATTCACAGTGGGGAGAAGCCTTAGTTACATAAGGAATACGAAGAAAACCTTTACACATGCCTCCTAACTCACTCAATATATAAAGACTTGCACTAGAGAGAAGCCTTACCAATGTAAGGGATGTGGGACAGCCTTTAGTTGTTCTCACACCTCATGCTGTAAGAAAAAAAATATATATCTGTATCTGCTATCAGGGACCTCTCCAGAGTTATCAGTGTCAGACTGGAACCTAAGGTGTGCCTGATCCAGGCCATGTCTAGGCATCAGAAAATTGGACAAAGTTAGACTAAGGATCACAGGAAAAGAATCAATGCCTTTTGGTTGTGCTGGAGAAGAGTAGTTGAACATGCCATGGACTGCCAAGAGAATAAAGATCATTTGTCCTGGGGAGAGAGACCATGTTGGTCTCAAGAGGCAAGGATTGCTTTGGGCATGCTGCCAGGATGGACCAGACCTTTGAGAAGAGCATGTGCTTGGAAGAGTGGAGGGACAAGGCAAGAAAAGAAGACTCTGGAGGAGAAAGATTGACACAGTAACTGGGGTAATGGAGGTAGAGCTGTCTGAGGCAGTGAGATTGGTTCAGGATAGAGGACACATTCAGGGCTACTGTGCATAGGGTCGCTATAAGTCTTAAGCAACTCGGGCACATAACTCCATCTTTAAAAAGTTACAAGATGGAGTTGAAGCCAAAGTAATAGAAGAAAAAATTATCTCCAAAAGATTACTAAGAGAATCCTCATTGTCCTTGTACTCTTTTTGTGAACCATCCAAAGCCTGTTCTTGGACCAGAGCATCCTCTGAGACAAACATTCCAATCTACCTCAAGCCCTAGCCTTGTCCTTTCAAACCCTGTCTTCCTTCATGTACAAATTAAATTGGGGTGGGAACGAGACTGTGAGGTCAAAGCCCTTTGTCAGTGGGGTGAGACAGAAAACCCAGTTGAACTGCCCACCTGGTATGCTTGTCCACCATACCAAGTGCCAACTGAGCATCCTTATGCCGAAGTAAAGATTTGCCTTGCCAAAATTTTACTTGGTTTGTTTCATTTCTCCTGTAACACTGAGCCATGTTTCTAACAATTGGCACATCCTCATCTGGGGTACAATATTCCCTCTGTCATAGGTTTTAGCCTTCTTCCCTGAAGATGATATGTCTTGCTGCCATATTGAAGCACCCTTCAAGTGGGAGTGGGTGAAGCCTCCCAAATAATTGAATAAACCTAGATTCTCAGCAAATGGATAAAAGGCCTAGAGCAAGCACTGTGTCAACCAGCCAACTCTGGACACAGACCCAGGCAAGAATAGATGCCAGAAAGGTGGAAAACACTCCTTTGGTTGTCAGGATCATGGCAAGAAAAACAAATCTATGGGGTTAATAGTCCCTTGGTGGCTTACGCCTTCCTGGATGGGGTGTGAGAGAGAGTGAATGAATGAGTCATACCTGGGGCACGCAGTGAGGGTGCAGTCCTGATGTGCAGTTCTGTGGCAGCCTCTTACGGTTTAGGATGGTATTGAGTTAATTCTGTCTGAGTTGGAAAGAGAGTGCAAAGAAAAAACTCTCCCTGGTAGTCACTTGAGATTAATGTTCCCATATTAGAAATAAAATCTGTGGTCTAAAAAGAAAGTATAAATGATTAAGTATTGTTACTCCACTTGAACACAAGGACACATCCCTGATCTGTCTTTTGGGTAAATTTAACTCAAACGAAGATTTATCAATTCCTAATTGAATATATGGTAAGTCTTGTCTCCCCAGTAGAGGTAGACTATGACCTCTGCTTGAAGCAGACCTAAGGAGGACTAGTTCAAGAAAAACTTTTCTAGGACTCCCTCCCTTCTCTATGCACCACCACACACACTTACAATCCTGCATTCCAGTAACTGGTGCCACTGGCTTCAGTTATTCAGCCAACCCTTTAATGCTCCAGGTTCCCTAGGAGCCAATTCTGGTTTTCTTTTTCCAGTTAAACACCATCTTTGCCAACAGGAAAAAAATTGACCAATATCAAAAGAATATTCAAAATCTCCCCTTTCCTGCTCTCCCTCACCCCTGACATTGAGTCACAGACTCTGCCCATTAACCAAGGTCCTTTTAGGGGGAGGAGGAATCACATTTGTTAATGCACTATCAACTAGCCTTGGAATTGTTTTTAAAGTGATTGAGACCACTACTAGAGGACCTATAGGGGTCTCACTGATCAAGCAGATCTGTTCTTAGGTTCCCAACTATATGAACTCTGCATCTCACAGGGGAAATATGAGAGCTATAAAAAGATCAGACTGAGGGCATTTACTGAGAGATTATAATAAAGGGAACATAATGGTCAGTCCCCCATTCCCAGGATATATGCAAAGCCTTTGATGTGCACCAAGGAAAAGAGGAAGTACTTGCAAAATTTCTTAAAGACTCAAAGGCCAAATGAGATAAACTAGAATGGACATACAAGACCTTGTAGGGCAATAAATGTTAAAACCTCATTTTGACATCAATACGTGGCCTGACATTGCCAAGAAAGAAAATAAAACACTGGAAAGACCAGTCTTTGGAAGAATTGTTATTGGGGGAGGCTCAAAAGGGGCATGTGATGAGGATTAACAAAAGCAGAGATGGGAGGCCAAGATGATGGTCACGCAAGAACAGACATCTCGGAATGCTGACTAGTTGGTGGCCCCCAGGACTCCAACCTTTGTTGCTGAGACCAAACCAGAGGGGAACCTAAAAACAACTAGAGAAAGTAGAAAATAAATGAGGGGAAGTGAGACATTTCAAAAGAATGTGTAGAATGGAAGGGGAAAAGCAAACTAATCCCTCTTAGAAATTTTGGTGAATTGTGGCCAACACTGATAAGGATGGGAAACCTATACTTTGGAAACATTTGTAAAAACGTAACAAAAAATGGATGGTTCAAAATCAAAGAAATGCATCAGGTGTATGTCCTTTCTTGATAGCTTTCAGTCCTTAGGGACATCCTTGGGAGGGTGGAGGGACAGCACAGGAGAGGAAGACCCTTGAGATGGATTGATTCAGTGAGCAGGGTACTGGGGGTAGGTGTGTCAGAGGCAATGTTGGACTATGAATCACAGGTGACTCAATGGCACATAATACCACCATACAGATTGGACAACTATGGAGAAGGAATACAACCCTCATGCACTCCCTAATTTTACACCGTTTAGTCCCCTTGCTCTGTCGACAACACCTGGACTAGGTATAGATTTCACATGAGCACAATTATGTGCTCTAGGATTCCAGTGCTCAGCGTTAGCCATAACATGTTATGATCCAGTGTTAAATGCCTTTGCATAGTCAATAAAGTATAAATAGATATTCTAGTATTCTGCAAAGAATACAGTCTTCCATATGGATCACATCTCAATGTCAAGAAAACCAAGATTCTTACCACTGGACCAATACGCAACATCGTGAAGGAAGGAGGAAATACTGAAACTCAACTTCATCTTACTTACATCTACAGTTACCACCCTTAGTACCAGAAGTTAGGAAATTAGGGCATGTATTGCACTGGGGAGAGTGTGCAATTATGGAACACTCCAAATTATTGAGGAGTATTGATGTCAGTTTGAGGACTGAGGTGCATCAAATTGAGACCATGGACTTGCCAATCACTTGCTTTGCATCTGAGAGCTGAATAATGAATAAGGACAACAGAAGAAAAATTGATGCCTTTGAACTATAATGTTGGAGAAGAGCACTGAACATCCCACTGACTACTGAAAGAATAGACAAGTATGTCTTGGAGCGAGGGTGCAGCCAGAGGGCTCTTTGGAGGCAGAGATGGGCATGTAGCTAGGAGGAGCTATTCTTTGGAGAGGGATATGATGTCAGCAAAGGTGAGGACAACCCTTGACCAGAAGGCCTGACAGAGTGACTGCCGCAATGGACTCTTGATGTGTCAGGAAGTGTGAGGATGGCACAGGACAGGGTTCATAGGGTCACTATATATCGTACAAGACAGCACTTAACAACTGCAACGAGACTTACTTGAAAATTCAAAGACAAATGGGTAAGACTCTTGATAACAAAGAGTATGTGGTAGAATTCTGTGGTGCTGTGACCTTTGGGGTGCCCTGGCCATCAGCAATCTGGGCTATTCCTCAGGTAACGGGGAGGCAGGTACTGGAGCACTCAGTGGGTTGTTTTCCCAAGGCTGGACTGTCCTGCAGGGAACACTGCTGGCTTATCACATGACATGCTGGGTTGCTAACAGAAAAGTTGAGATCCACCAGTCACTTTGTACAATAAAGATACAAAGTCTCCTCCAATTAACATTTCCTACCTTGAAAAACTGATGAAAGATAGCCTTGAAATAGAACTGACCAAAACGGATGTCAGAAGAGACTGAAAATTGCACTGGAGCACAGAGAAATGAAAGCACAAGGAAGAATTCAAGATACTAAAGAGTTGAATAGATTTCAAAAGGCAGCGCGGGATGACCAAGTAAAATATTAAAATGAAATGTGCAAGGAGCTGGAGTCTGCAAATCAAAAGGGCCGAACTCGCTCAGCATTTCTTAAGCTCAAGGAACTGAAGAACAAATTCAAACCTCAAGTTGCTATAATCAAGGATGCTTTCGGCAGAATATTAAATGATCCAGGAAGTATTAAAAGAAGATGGAAAGAATATACTGAGTAACTGTATCAAAAGGAATTGGCAGACACAAAAGAATTTAACGAAACAACATATGAGCAAGAGCCTATGGTGATGAAAGAAGAAGTTCAGGCTGCTTTGAAGGAAATAGCAAAAAATGAGGCCCCAGGAATAGATGGTATACCAAATGACATATTTCAGCTAAAAGATGTTGCCCTGGATGTGCTAACCAAACTGTCCTAAGAAATCTGGAGAACAGCCACCTGGCCAACTGACTGGAAGAGATCTATATTTGTTCCCATCCCAAAGAAAGGTCATCCAACAGAGTGTGGAAACTACAGAACAATCTCATTGATTTCACATGCAAGCAAGATTCTACTGAAGATTATCCAAAAATGACAGGAACAGCAAGCACA